AGTTCTGTGTGGGTGCATGTACCACTACTGATTGTGGTTACACTGGCCTGTATTCTTGTGTGCTGATTGAGTAATGGTGGTGGTGTGACTCAGGTCATCCTTTGTTTTCTTTTTCTTTTTTGCTTGCATCCCTACAGTCTAACTAATCTTCCACCTGTTGGAGTTATATTCTTCTTTTTTTGTTTCTTAATATTAATGTGTGTTTTGTGCGTTTTTGCTCTCTGTGTTTATCCTATAATTATTATTGCTACTACTCCATTCTGTGTGTGTGTGTGTTCTTGGAGACTCCCTCTTTGTGTGCACCTGGGCTTGCACTGTGATAATGATGAACTGCTTTTTGAAGTGGAAAAAAGAAGTAAATAATAATAACAGATGAATGTATATTTATAATTGCGTATATATACACATACATAGACTTACACCCATAGTTGGTGTGTATGTCTATGTTTACTTGGGTAAATTGGGCTAATAGTTAATATCTTTTTCTTTGCTTGATGATTTTGCTGGGTGGTTCAGCCTTTTTTGGAGATATTTGTGCGTGTGGGCTTTTTTTTGTTTTTACTATTACTGAGGTTATTGTGCGATGTATTTCATAACTTAACTGGTGTGTATTTCCTTTGTGATGTGAGATTCTTTTGTGTTAATAGATTTGTGTGTGTCCTAACGTGTTTGATACTTTATTTATTTTCGTTTTTGCTTTTTCCTTTGTCTTTATTTCTAGATCAGTGTTTTTACGTGCAACAAACTATTCTCTCTCTCTCTCATGATGAAGATGAGTCGTGTGATGTGTGTGTTGGCCGTTGTGCTGTGCTGTGCCTGCGGGTATACCATGGCGGCTGCTGCTGCTGTTGATAATGACAGTCCCAGTGGCCGTGGTGTATCCCGTGGGGCTGTGGAGGTGTCGTGTGGGGCCGGCGGTGCGCTGCGTGTACGCCCCGCTGCTGAGAGCGAGTGGCTTACATGCGGTGCCGGCAGCCGTGTGTCTGCATGTGGGAAGTACGCAGACCTCTGCCGCCATCGTACCGCAAGAACAACAACAACAACTACTACTACTACTAATGGACAGCCAAAGGCGGTGATGGCACTCCTTGGTGATTATTGGTCTGATTTTGGTGAGTTTCCTTCTGGAAGTGATACCGATTCACGTCAGTCAAGTGGTGGTAGTGAAAACGGTAATGGTAAACAGGGAGGTCCGGGAAAGCAAGTGACAAACAAAAAACTGGAAGGAGAACTAAGCGTGGTTCCACACGCTGGACGGGAGTCTCTGGCACAAAAGGATAGCGAAGGTGCAGAAGAACACACGGGTGGCAATAAAGCAAATACAATAGGTGATGTTCAATTACCGTCAGGTGGCGAAACTGATGATCAAACTTCAGATCAACTCTCTGAGAAAAGTAATCATGTTGAGCCTACATCAAGTTCGGCAAATAACCCATCAGTCTCACACTCTGAACGTGACGATTCTTCTTCTTCCACCACAATATCTACCCCCGCACAAGATGTTCCTGCTCCCAGTGTAACAACAACAGCAACAGTTACCAGCCCACAGAATGTCGGTGAAGGAGCAGCAGCAGAAGAATCTACTGCAAAAGGGAGTGAACCCTCGGCGACCACACTGTCTGCTAATACTAATACTGCCTCGTCTGAGTCTCATGGTCAAACGAGAGAAGGTGGACCCAATGATGCTACGGAACAATCGTCTTCTTCAAGCACGAACAGTGTAACTGAAGCAGCAACCCCCAGTACATCTCCTCCACCCAATCCAGAGATCACCTATATTGCTTCCGCAGTGCAGAAGACCAAGGCTAATGTTGACAGCAGCAGTGTCTGTCCTGTGTGGATGCGCACTGCAGCACCGCTACTGATTGTGGCTGTGTTGTTCTCCGTTACTGTGTACTGAACGGTGGGACTCATCTGACGGTTAATAATAATAATAATGGTAATACTAATATAATCATAATTGCGTACATCCCCCATGGGTGAATAAACTAATAATCTGTTTACCAGCTTTCTCTTTAATTGGAATATCTTTTCTTTTACTTTATTTCTGTTTGTTCTTTTTCTAATAATTCCATTACTTGCTTTTCCCGTTGTGTGTTTGCAGAAAACTGGGCTGTTCTGCTCACTGACGGTATACATCTCTTGCTAGTACACACAGATGTGTGTGTGCAGTAATTTATTACATAAACTAGACCCATGGGGTATATTGTGTGTGTGTTTGGCTCTCTATCTTATTTGGGTATTCTGGGGTTTTCTCTTTTTTTCTATTAAGGGGTACATATTATTATCATACAAGCGGGATATTCTTTTCGTTGGTTTACGGTGCAGTTCTTTCTCTCTCTCTCTATCCCTCTGTGAGTATTTGTTGTACTGGTGTGTGTTTATTTGTTTTTGTCTTAATTATTTATTTCCTTGTTTTTCTTCCTTCTATCAGTCTATTATAGTAAAACACAATAATGACTAAGGCTGTAATGGTGAGGTGCTATCTGCTCTGTTTATTTACTCTTGCACTGTATTGTGCTTCTGGGTTAGTATGGGCTGATAGTCCTAAAGCTTCTGATGCCCTTATTAAACCTTCCACTATTGGTGTTCCTTCTCTTGTTCATCACGTTATTCATGCGCAGGAAGCTTGGATAGTGGATATAGATGAAGAAGATAAAGTGGTTCAGGAAGACGAAGCTGCCAAGAAAGAAACTGAGAAAGAGAAAAAATCTCCTCAAAAAACTGAGAAAGACCTTCTCCGTGTGGTAACAGATCCTGCCAAGGTTGCGGTTCCTGAAAAAGTAGAAGAGAGAGATGGAGGTGGCGACTCTGTGAGAAGTGGTTTGGAAAATGAAAAAGAAGGTCAAGTAATAGACACAAAAGGCGAACACGGTGAGGATTCTCCACCACCTCCTGCCGTTTCAGCTGATCCAGCCCAAGGTGATGGCGGTGTGAATAATCTGGATTCCCAAGCTAACAAAGATGATATTGGTGAGAAACGAACTGATAGTGAAAGGAGGGAATTATCACAAACAAGTATCATCAATCCTTTACAGGGTGAAAATGCACAAGAGGAACTAAATAAAAAACCTGAGAGAACACCTGTTACTCAATCTCCCAGTGATCCCAATGGAAATTCTGAAGTTCCACAGACCCCCAGTCCTAAGCCACAGGAACCATCGTCAGTCAACCCACAAGGGAGTATAGAAAAGGAGCACAACGTTCAGAGTAATACTGCTAACACTGACAATGCCAATACACCCATTAATGAGGGATCAACCACCACCACCACAACAACAACAACACTTCCTCCTGAACTCACAAACAACAAGAAGGGTGATGCAGACAGCAGCAGCAGTATCAGCAGTTCTGTGTGGGTGCGTGTACCATTACTGATTGTGGTTACACTGGCCTGTATTCTTGTGTGCTGATTGTAATGGTGGTGTGGTGGTGTGACTCAGGTCATCCTTTGTTTTCTTTTTTTCTTTTTTTGCATGCAATCCCTACGGTCTAACTAATCTTCCACCTGTTAGGATTTTATCTTTTCTTTTTGTTTCTTAATGTTAATGTGTTTTGTGTGTGTTTTTGCTCTCTCTGTGTTTATCCTATAATAATTATTATTGCTACTCCATTGTGTGTGTGTGTGTTCTTGGAGACTCTCTGTGTGTGCACCTGGGCTTGCACTATTATGATGATGAACTGCTTTTTGCAGTGGGAAAGGAAATAATAATAATAACAGATGAATTTATATTTATAATTGTATATATATACACACATATAGAGTTACACCCATAGTTGGTGTATTTTTCTGTGTTTACTGGGTACGTTGGGCTAATAGTTAATATCTGTTTCTTTGCTTGATGATTTTGCTCGTGGTTTAGCCTTTTTTGAAATATTTGTAAGTGTGGGCGTCACTTTGTTTTTTACTCTTAATGAGGTTATTGTGCGCTGTATTGTATTCTTTAACTGGTAGGTTTTTCTTTCACGATGTGAGTTTCCATAGTGGTAATCGATTTTTGTGTCCTAACATGTTTGATACTTTATTTATTTCCTTATTTTTACTTTTTTGATTCTCTTTCTTTCTAGATCAATGTTTTTACGCAAACCAAACCCTTGTCTCTCTCATGATGATGATAATGTGCCGTGTGATGTGTGTGTTGGCCGTTGTGCTGTGCTGTGCCTGCGGGTATACCATGGCGGATCCTGCTACTACTGTTAATGCTGGACAACCAAAGGCGGTGATGGCTATTGTTGATCCTTTTGATTTTGATTTTCCTTATTTTAGGGGTCCCCAAAAAGGTGAACAAACTCCTGCAGGAAGTGGTAATGGTGAACTAGAGGATGATCGTAATGACGAAGTAATGACAGATCATTTAACCATCGAAGAACGCGAACGTATCTCTACACAAAGGGGTGAATCAGTTGGTGTTGCACATGGTGAAGATTTACATGAAGGTATTTCTGCTGGAGGTGTTGAGGGTCCGGATATAAAACTCGAAGTAGCAGCAGGTAAGAAGCATAACCAAGGAGACGAATTATCCACAGGTGGCGATGGGAAGAGCGATGGGAGAAGTGGAACTGAACAACTTGGATCTTCGTCAAGCAAGGAAGTTGTGGGTTTACAGAATGAAAAAGGAGAGTTGGGTAGCCTCACCAAAGGTACTCCAGAAGTTCGTCCTGCTACAGCGACGCCTGCACCTGTTACCTCTCCCACGGACCCTAATCCAACTCTACAAACAGCAACACCCTCTCAGCATGGGGACAGGTTACCTCTACCAGACCCACAAAGAGATAATAATGTGCAGAAATTTGAAAATGAAGAAGGACCCCTGGAGAAAACGCAAATCTCCACTGACGTATCTCATTCTGGTAATGAACCGAATACAGCATCATCTGGTAATTCACTAAAGCCCAATAACGCGGGACAGGAACAGGAGAATGAAAAGACACAGAGTTCTCAGACAGAAAATGGTACACAAAGAACAAACGATGCAGACAACAGTAGTACACAACATCAAGAAGATCCCGGTACAGAACCAACTCATCCTTCAGCACCTTCGCATACTAATGGAGCAGCAAGTGGTGGTAATTCTGGAGAGACATTAACGAACAACTCAGCGAGTACGAACTCTGAAACTTCAACTACAGCCAGTAATGATGAGGAATCAACCACCACCACCACCACAACAACAACAACAACATTTCCTCCTGAACTCACAAACAACAAGAAGGGTGATGCAGACAGCAGCAGCAGCAGTATCAGCAGTTCTGTGTGGGTGCGTGTACCACTACTGATTGTGGTTACACTGGCCTGTATTCTTGTGTGCTGATTGTAATGGGGTGGTGGTGGTGGTGTGACTCAGGTCATCCTTTGTTTTCTTTTTCTTTTTGCATGCATCCACACTACAGTATAACTAAACTTTCCACCAGTTGGGATTTCTCTTCTTTTTTGTTTCTTAATGTTAATGTGTTTTGTGTGTTTTTGCTCTCTTTGTGTTTATCCTATAATTATTATTATTGCTACTCCATTGTGTGTGTGTTCTTGGAGACTCTCTGTGTGTGCACCTGGGCTTGCACTATGATGACGATGAACTGCTTTTTTGAAGTGAGATGGAAAAAGAAATAATAATAACAGATGAATTTATATTTATAATTGCGTATATACACACATATAGACTTACACCCATAGTTGGTGTGTATCTCTGTGTTTACTGGGTAAATTGGGCTAATTGTTAATATCTGTTTTTTTGCTTGATGGTTTGCTTTGGCATTCTGTGCTTTACTGCGGGAGTCTTTGATTATATGGATGCCCTTTTGTTTTTACTCTTACTGAGGTTATTGCGCTGTATTACATTCTTTAACTGGTAGGTTTTACTTTTCACGATGTGAGTTTCCATAATGGTAATCGATTTGTGTGTCCTAACATGTTTGATACTTCATTTATTTTCTTTTTGATTGTTTTTTTCTTTTTAGATCAGTGTTTTTACGCAAACCAAACTATTGTCTCTCTCTCATGATGATGATGATGTGCCGTGTGATGTGTGTGTTGGCCGTTGTGCTGTGCTGTGCCTGCGGGTATACCATGGCTGCTGCTGCTGCTGTTGATAATGACAGTCCCAGTGGCCGTGGTGTATCCCGTGGGGCTGTGGAGGTGTCGTGCGGGGCCGGCGGTGCGCTGCGTGTACGCCCCGCTGCTGAGAGCGAGTGGCTTACATGCGGTGCGGGCAGCCGTGTGTCTGCATGTGGGAAGTACGCAGACCTCTGCCGCCAGCGTACCACAAGAGGAGCAAGAGCAACAACCATTGCTACTACTACTACTGTTGGACAGCCAAAGGCGGTGATGGCTACTTTTAATGTCTATGCAGACAATATCCTGTCACTAAATATAACGCCTGAAAGCGTGAAGGCATGGAATAAAAGCAAAAGAAAAGCAAATGCAGGTCCGGCAACACGTGAAACACGTGAAGATACAATGGGTGACGGTATTGAAGAAGTAATACAGAGAGATGATAATCCGAGCGATGTTGTCTCTCACGTTGCTGAATCTCAAAAGAAAGAAAATACTCCAGGTTCACAAAATGGAAACAGTAATTCAAGAACAAATGAAGATTCGTCGCCCAGAGCAGAAGCTCCTCATATACCATCAAACCCTACTTCTCATCACCAATCTACTACTGGCGTTGCTACAACGTCTACAGGTGATCGAGGTGCAACAGCCGGAGAAACTCTGTCGTCAGAAGGTCAGGGAGCAGCAAGTGCAACAACGACAACAGACAGAACCTCATTTGGAGAGGATGATTACAATCAACCAAACCCACAAACACAATCTGAAAATACCTCAACACGCTCACAAGAAACCAATTCCACTACACCTACAAATACCGAGAAAACTGTGGAAGCACCAACCACCACTCCATCTCCTGCACCCAACGCAGAGATCAGCAGCATTGACCCCATTGTACAGCAGAAGACTAATGCTAATGTTGACAGCAGTGTCAGTCCTGTGTGGATGTGCACTGCAGCACCGCTGCTGATTGTGGCTGTGTTGGTCTCCGTTACCCTGTACTGAACAGTGGGACTCATCTGAGAGCAAATAATAATAATAATGGTAATACTAACATAATTATAATTGCGTACTTCCCCCATGGGTGAATAAACTAATAATCTGTTTATCAGCTTTCTTTTTCAATTCGAATTACTTTTGTTTTTCTTTTGTGTGTGTGTTCTTTTTATAATTAATTCCATTACTTGCTTTTCCGTTGTCTGTGCGTGTGTGCAGAAAACTGAGCTGTTCTGCTCATTGACGGTATACATCTCTTGCTAGTACACACAGATGTGTGTGTGCAGTAATTCAATACATAAACTAGAGCCATGGGGTATTGTGTGTGTGTTTGGCTCTCTCTCTTATTTGGGTATTGTGGGGTGTTATCTTTTTTCGTATTAATGGGTACATATTATTATCATGCAAGCGGAATATTACTTTTTCTTGTTCCTTTATTGTGCAGTTGTTGCTTCTCTTTCTCTATCCAACTGTGAGTATTTGTGTCCTGCATCCACGCTCTCTATGTGTGTCTCACTCTCTTCCTTCTTCTTTCTCTTTTCCACACTCCCTGTGTAGACTTGTGAACTCAACTGACGAAGACGACAAAAAGAAGAAGAGTGTCGATGACCGTTATGATGATGATGATGCGCTGGATGCTGTGTATAGTGGCTTTGCTTCTAAGTATTGGTTGTGTGTGTGTGGCGGCTGAAGCGGAAGAGAAAAAGCCTGATTCTGAAGGAATGAGTGAACCGTTAACGCAGGCCACTCATACTGGATCTGAAGTTTCTAGTGGTAGATGTGAAGGCACTGTTCCATCTGATGGATCTTGTACTTCGAAAGCATCTCCTGAGAAGCTGGGAACTCACGCTCCACCCGGTCCTCGAACTGAGACTACTCCTCATTCTGCGCCTCGTTCCCAACGTACCACGCAGGGAGATGATGCGGCAGAGCGTACAACTGATGACATCACGGGACAAAAACCAAAAGGAGAGGAACCAGCAGGTGACGATGAGAAGATAGAAGAAAAGGAAAGGGTCACTCATGGAAATAACCCACAGCCAGGGCCATCTTCATCGTTATCTCCTGAGCAGCCGCCACATGATGGGTCAAGTATTACTCTTTCTATAGGGGAATCGAGACAGATAGACAGAGTCACACAGGGCTCTCAAGAAGAAAACCGCAACAAAGAAACGAATACTGCACGCATAGAATTGCCGAAACCTGCTGACTCAACAGAACATTCTTCTCCAGATACACCACAACCAGAACCAACCCCATCTGATCCACACTCTGGTGATTCAAACACACTAAATAACCAGAGCGCAGAGCCCAGCAGTACCGCTGATACCTTGACAATTTCAGAAGAGAGTGAAGGAACAAATGGCGAGACTGCGAATGCTGTGAGTGAATCAACTACCACAACAACAACAACAACAACATTTCCTCCTGAGACTGCAAACAACAAGAAGAGTGATGCAGACAGCACCAGCAGTATCAGCAGTTCTGTGTGGGTGCGTCTGCCACTACTGATTGTGGCTTTGGTGTTCTCCGCTACTGTGTACTGAACGGGTGGGACTCATCTGAGAACAAATAATAATAATAATGGTTAAACTAACATAATCATAATTGCGTACATCCACCATGGGTGAATGAATTAATAATCTGTTTACCTGCTTTTTCTTTTAATTCGAATTACTTTTACTTTTCTTTTATTTGTGTGTGTGTGTGTGTGTTCTTTTTCTAATAATTCTATTACTTGCTTTTCCCGTTGTATGTGTGTAGAAAACTGGGCTGTTCTGCTCACTGACGGTATACATCTCTTGCTAGTACACACAGATGTGTGTGTGGAGTAATTTAATATACATAAACTAGATCCATGGGATATTGTGTGCGTGTGTTTGGCTCTCTCTCTTATTTGGGTAATGTGGTGTTCTCTTTCGTTGTACTCTGAGTGATGCTGGAGTATTATTTTTTCGGTGTTACTAATTATTTTTTCGATTGTTCCTCATGTTGTTTTGTGTAATTGATTGTTGTGTGATGTGCTCTCCTTTGTTTCTCTCTTTGTGTGTTTCTAATGTAGTGACTGTTTCCATTAATTTTCTTAATTTCTTCTTTCTTCTGCATTCAAGTGGCATATAAAAACAAACTAAATCTTGCTGTCATGATGATGTGTCGTGTGTTGTGTTTTCTCGCTTTGGTATTGAGTGTTGTCTCTTTGTGTGTGACAGCTGAGGCGCCTCCTTCTTCTCTCGCAGTTGGTCCTGGTGGTACTTGTCCTCCTGAGATGACTTCTTCTGGTGACGGTAATAATTGTTCGCCTTCTGCTGGTGCCCCACCACCTCCACCTCCGGGTCCACCACCACCACCTGGTCCTCCTCCTCCTACTCTTTCTGGTAGTGAGGGTACTTGTTCTTCAGGTACTACTTGTAAAAACGGCCGTAGTGATTCTGAACCTTCTCGTACTAATTGTGAGACGTCTCCTGGGACGAAAACTTGCATTCCTAAGGAAACTAAGAAGGAAGACAGTTGCCGTGATGGATCTGATAATACACATTGTCCACAATCACTACAGAATCCTGGTCGACCTACACCTAATCCTCGAGAAGATGGCAAGGTACCTGTACAAACAGGTCCCACTGGTGCTTCTGGTGAACAAGGAGAATCTGTGGCGGGTGCTGCTGGACGTGGTGGTGGTGATTCTTCTTCTTCTGACCCTCCTTCTTCTGCTCCTGTTCCTACTCCTATTTCTACTCCTGCTTCTACTCCTCACCCTCATGAGGGGAGTGCTGTTGAGTCTTCAGTTGATGGCCAACCTGGAAGCAACGGCAACAATACAACACATGAGGGTGAAACTGGAGATAACAATGAAACTGCGGCAACATAACCTTCTGCTGACTCTCCTAACACTTCCGCCACAGTGAGTGGTGATGGTTCTGATACTGCAACACCAGGGAATGGCACTACACCTGCAGGGAGTGAGTCAACAAATAACCAACAAGGTGTGGAAACTGCAGATCCCACCACCACAACCACGACAACAACACTTTCTCCTGAACTCACAAACAACAAGAAGGGTGATGCAGACAGCAGCAGCAGTATCAGCAGTTCTGTGTGGGTGCGTGTACCACTACTGATTGTGGTTACACTGACCTGTATTCTTGTGTGCTGATTGTGGTGATGATGGTGTGACTCAGGTCATCCTTTGTTTCCTTTTTTTCTTTTTTTGCATACATCCCTAAAGTCTAACTAATCTTCCACCTGTTGGGATTTTCTTCTTTTTTTTTTGTTTCTTAATGTTAATGTGTTTTGTGTGTTTTGTGTATGTTTATCCTATAATTATTATTATTGCTACTCCATTGTGTGTATGTGTGTTTTCTTGGAGACTCTCTCTGTGTGTGCACCTGGGCTTGCACTGTGATGATGATGATGAACTGCTTTTTTGAAGTGGGAAAAGGAAATAATAATAACAGATGAATATTTATATTTACAATTGTATATATACATATATATAGACTTACACCCATAGTTGGTGTATATTTCTGTGTTTACTGGATAAATTGGGCACAAATATTTAATTCTCTTTACTTGTTTATGGTTTGCTGGGTCGTTTTGTTTTTTGACCTGTACCGGTTTGATATATTTCGTATTGCAGAAGGGAAAAAATATTAACTGTTACACATAATTTCATTCTTTGCTATATATGCTGTCCACCCAATGAAGAACACTATATTTCTGTGTTTTCTGCTCTTTTTGGTCGTACTTTTTAATTTATTATATATTTTTCTTTCAGAGATAATTAAGATTTTCTATTTAATACTGGGAATTGTTTTTTTTTTT